TCCTGCTAAACGATTTACAGCCCATTTCCATAGTTATGGCATTGAATCTAGTTCTTTTGTGTGTGTATATATATAATAGACTAAGTAAAGACACTTTGCCTGTACAACATACCAGTCCCCCATCTTATTCTATGTGATATGTAATTTTGTTATTTTGCATGATATAGATATAAAATAATACCGAAATACACAACTCTTCAGCTGTCAACCTGGAATAGGGGATAATTAACAAAACTTAAAATCTAAAAATCTTGGTTTTGGAGAATGAGACATATTTATTTAAGATTTAGCAGCGATCCACCAGCTTGTTTGATGTCTGGATATATATTTGAAGGAAATCTGTGTTTAATTATTTAGAAGCACTGCAAATGCATCAGAAACTTAGCTATGTCTTTTGAGGGGGAAAAATGTCTATATATGAATCAGTACTGACAAATTTGCTGTATGGCAGTCACAATAAACAGCACTGGTACAGTCAGTTTCAGTATTCACAACTACAGCAACTGTTACGTTTTTAAATAAGATTTGGTTATTTTCGTCAGACAAAAAGTAAAAAAAATACATATAATGTAAAGATCCTGTACCAGACAGAATGCTGAGGAGCCCATAAAGTGAATTGTTTGTTAATAGTAGGGCAAGGAATAAAGCTGATGATTAACTTGATTTAAGTAGTGTACATGCATATCACACTTGTCAGCATTCATCTTATTAAGTAACCATTTAGAATTGAAGATCAAACTTTTTCTAATGCATTATATGAGTGAGGGGGAGGGAAAAGGATCGTGAAAACGTCTGGCTTGCAACCCTTAAATACTTTGTTCTGGAATGAATTGCCTGATCAAAAGAGGAAAATAATTGAGTTTGTTTGACATCAGTCTTGCATTTAACACTGGTACATTTTTGTGGAAGGAAAAAAAATCAAGTTAGGACCGAAACTAGTTTCATAAGAATACAATCAAAGGCTAGAGACTTTAATCTCTCTAGTACTGGCAATTACACACTTCAGTAAAATAAAAGTTAATTCAGA